ATCTCCATGACAAACAGCTGATCCACAACTCTGACAGAAGACATGTAAAAGAGCATGTTAGAGTGCATCCATTTTATAGCAATATGTTTATAAGAATAGAAATTAAAACAAATTCCATTAATGACTTTTCCTACTTAATGAAGAATGGGAGGGGAGAGATGACGACTGTTCTCCTTTGCTGAGAGCAGACAGGAAGAATGGGCAGGGATGACTCTACAAACCTCAAAAGTGGTTGTCATTGTGGGCTTATAGGACACGTGGTTGGCCCTTCTCAGCTCCTTGATGGTCTCGGCTGGCATGGATTTAGAAAAGCCGAGGCCGCTCCAGGTGTTTGTAGGTGTTCTGACCTCCGTCACCACTGGTTTCTTTAACATAGCTTTGGAACACAGAATATAAAACAAAATGCTTGATATTTTTAAAAATATTGATGCGTGCTGTTCCTCTGATATATGTAAAGAAATCATACCTGAATATTATTTCTTAATACAAAATGCCTTAAAATATCGTCATAAAATATTTTATGCCATTGTATTTTAAAATGCTACATTATTTCATAATTGATCTAATGCTAATTTACTCAATAAAGTACATTTAACCCCAACAAAACTTTTGCAACTTTGAACTTAAACATTTTTTTTATGACGGTCCAATTTCACAATTCAACGTGAATCCTGGAGAATCTTTTATGGGTCTTTGATGGGGGAGGGGAGAATCAAAATCATTACTATATCACATACCTTTGGTTGCTAATAGCTTCTTTTGTTCATAGTCAAATGCCTGAAAATAAAACAGAGCGAAAATATTTTATTGCCAGTTTATCCAAATGTCATGCTGATTAGAAAACCACGGTTTTGACTAGAGCCCATGAATCTACCTGCTAAGCACCATAATGTCTCATTAATTCAGAGCAAGTCTGATCAATTTAAATATGTTTTCAAAATTAATTAATTAGAATATAAATGACTACTTTTGACTTTAAGTTGAGACAATGACAAGAGCCAGAAATCTTCCTTCAAAAGGAAAAAAAAATCCTATTTTCTATGAATATTTAAAACACCAGGGTAAGTATATGCTAAAGCACAGTAAATAACTTAATAGTAGTTCTGCTAAGTTTCAAAATAAAGCATTATGAAAATGCTTTCAGGTTATCTACCGGCCTCATCTGTTTCTCAAAATCCCCTCTTCAAAGGATGGCCTGAAGTGGTGTAATGTCCAGGCAGCTTAAGAAATTATTTAGCCCAATTGGAATGGTCTTTGCTTTTGAAAGGAGAAAAAAAGCAAATGTCGAGCTTTAAGCTATAATAACAGTAAGCATTACAATGAACTAAACCTAGTTACCTTGTATTGCACAGGAGTAGGATGGCACTATCCACTCTTTCATTCACACTGAATAAGTGACATATGACACAGGTCTACACAGAAACCACGGTAGGTCGTTTGGAAGAAAGTGGTCAGAGCGACATCTCACATGCTAACCCAGTGTTCTCAACTGCCCAGCTGAGGAACTGAGACTTGATTAACAATGTCTTAAAGGCTACCAGGAGGCTGAGAAACAGCTGGCAAGAGCTCTTCTGACCCTTTTCCCAGGGGTATCACACCACCATATGTAGGCTGCACGCCCAGGTAATCTACAGTGTGAAACAGGAGGCTTCTGAGCGGGAATGTGCCACAAATAATACTTAGGTCAGGATAACACAAGGAAACGGGCTGACCCTGACAAACCAGGACGTGTGGTGAGCTCTGAGAACGTGGCAGTAAATCAGGAGAGTGGATTTTTAGAGAACACATTTGACGATGGTTTTGAAACGTTAGATCTGAAATGGCAATGGAAATTAAAATCAACTTTTAACGATCAACATCTAAGGGCAAGGTGTGGGAAGATCCTACATTCACTTGTTCAATAAATATGTATGGAGTGCCTCAGGTTAAAGAGACTGTGCGGCACTTTGTGGAAGAAAACCACAATAAAAAAAAAATGAAAAATAAAACCTGTAGCCTCAGAGCACGGAGAGCCTCAGCAGGGATGGGTAAAGGAAATAACTACAAAATAAATTAGGAAGTGAGATAAGTGTGGAGAGAGCTGGGGATTCAGCTCTCCAAGGACAGCCGGAGACAGAGAGTTCTCAGCTAGGGGAATCAGGGAGTCTTCACTCTTTCTCCCCGTCAATGCTAGGTGAATACTGTCATTGATTTATTATGGTTTTAAAAGTCAGCTCTGTAGTAATGGCACAAAAACACCTATTTAAGTTGAAACTGTATCACCAAGAACATTTCTTATCCATCCTAAAAGAAAGAAACATGAAAGTGGTTCACTCTAGTTATAAAATGGATGGAAAGTAAGAACCACGAGACGGACGAAAACCATAAAGGGATCATGAAGCAGATTTGATACATCTTTGAGGAGGGAATTTTAATTTATATTAACTGAAAATAAGCCCGCTAGAGAAAATGTATCAGATATCATTTTTTAAAAAACTTTGACACTTTATAAAGGCCATGGCTTTGTGAACACATTCATCTAAAATCTCATGGAAATGTTCAAATGCAAAGGATTAAAAGAACAGATAAGCGGGATTGAGTTGTAGTTTTTGCTAGAATTATAGAAGTATAATTTAGTTCCATGAATTAATTTCTTTATATATCTGTGACAGTTTGGTTTCTAGGATTTTTATTTTTTTTTGGCGTTGGGGAGTGGGGAGATATATTTCTTATTATGAAGTAGGTAAGTCTACCCAATAATTATGGTACTGAAATCAAATGGTTATAGGAATCTCTAAAAGCACAAAATCCCTATCTTTCATATTGTCATCTATACAGAAATCATATTTCTGAACTTCATGTTCAATAGTCTACTTTGAGTAGTTAGCCTACTACAGATATAGAGAAAAATCCCTGAGGAAATTGTTTAAAATAATCATAAAAATTTGTGAATCAATATAATCATCAATAATATTTATCATCTATTTTCAAAAAACTAAAGCTTCATATTAGCTATTTTTATAACTGCCTAAATGACACCAAATTTATCACCTCCATTTTATAGATAGAAGGATTATTATATCTATTTATTCAAGACTATGTCAAGAGGCAATAATACTTAGAAATAACAGCTTTGGTATTTATCTAAAATTTTATAAAACAACAGGTGAATAGTGTCATTTACATTACACATAGTGACACAGACCATTCACATTACCTTTCATATTATATTTTAAACCAGAGGCCTGGTGCACAAAATTCGTGCACTTGGGGAGTCCCTCAGCCCGGCCTGCGCCCTCTTGCAGTCCAGGAGCCCTCGAGGGATGTTCTACTGCCAGCTTAGGCCCGCTCTCTGTGGGGAGTGGGCCTAAACTGGCAGTCGGATATCCTTAGTACTGCCATGAAGGTGGGAGTCTCCCGCCACCACTGCTGCACTCACCAGCTGTGAGCCCGGCTCAGGGCTTCTGGCTGAGCAGTGCTCCCCCTGTGGGAACACACTGATCACCAAGGGGCAGTTCCTGCATTGAGCATCTGCCTCCTGGTGGTCAGTGCGCATCATAGCGACCCGTCATTCCGCTGTTCGGTCAATTTGCATATTAGCCTTTTATTATATAGGATAACTTAACCATTTAAGCTAAATCCTGCATTTCATGTTTAAAGTTTATAGCAAAACCAATTCCTAACTACTGCACATAGATTTAAATTTAATTTGGACTAGAGTGCAGAAAGAAAACCTAGTTTCTGAATTCACCATTCTCTATCCCCAGCCCCTACATTTGGATGACCCTCCCACTCATTTTGTCGTTACCTGCATGTTGACATATGACCGGCCTGGAGGCCAGGCGGGCCCTTTCAGAGTTCTGCTGGGCAGCTGCGGCCCTCTCTGCAGCTCGCTCGCTCCCTGGAGCCTTCTTGTCAGCCAGAGGGCTCTCTGCAGGGCTCAGTTCTGGGTCTGAGAGCAGCCGGTCAGTGCTGCTGTGAAACAGAGTCTGGACTTTAACATCCACCATCACACACACAAATGCACCGAATGTTTCCTCTGTGCCACACTTACTGTATGCTAGCCACTGCCAACTATTTACACGTATCATCTCATTTAATCCTCACAACACCACTATGAGACGGGCAGTATTATTATTATTCCCATTTTACAGAAGAGGGAAGCCCAAAGTCATACCTCCGGTAAATGGTAGAGCTGGAGTTTGAACTCAGGCATTCTGACTCTGAGAGCCAGAGCTAAAACTATTCCATGATATATATTCAAACATTTTCTGTATATAGAATATATGTCATATTGTTAATGGGAGATATCAATGACCCATGGGTACATGGTCTAAACAGGATTGAGTTGATCTGAAAGCATGCAGCCCGCCATATCCTTGGGTCCCACATCCACAGATTTAACAGACTACAGATTGAAAATACTATTTTTGACACATGGTTGGGAATCTGCAGGTGCAGAGGGCTGACTGTATGCACTGTCCTATGCTATTTAGTATAAAGACTTGGACATATGTGGATTTTGGAATCAATCCCCCATAGGTACCAAGGGACAACTGTAGTTAAGTTTTGGGGGAGTCAGTACAGCACAGGGGGTCAGTGGCCCCTAACCCACACATGTTCAAGGGTCAGCTGTATAAGAAAACTAATAAGACAGTAGGGGAAATTGGGAAAATGGAGATGGATAGAAGCAAAACCTTTCAATACAGAAGCATTCCATTGTTTTTCTTTAAAAAAAAAACAACACAGGCTGCCTATTTGAAACAAGAAAATAAACGAAAAATAAAATAAGGAACACCCATTTATAACTGTCCTATCATACGGGAGAGTTATATTTCCATTGAGCCAAACCGCTCAGGGCAGGAGAGTTATATTTAATACAATATATGTATTCACATTCACTGTGATTTGTAATAAATGAAATCATGATACTGTCAAGTATTTATTATCAAAGTGAGCAGTTAACCACTTCAGAACAAGGGAGCCATGGTTTCAGTTAGAAATTCAAAGGCAAATGAAAGAGAATTCACACCAGGAAAGTATCTAAAAGCAATCATCAGAGAGTAAAAATCACCCTGCTGCTTACAGAAGAGCAGAAATCATGTTAAAAGTTTCAGAGCAACAGAGAAAGTTCAGAGGACCCAGATATACACCCAAGGTTTATGACGAGAAGGACGCTAGGTAGGATATAAGGGTGAGAATTACCAGGTATTAAGTCTTAATAACATTTTTATCCACAAAAATATCACTAAGATTGAAATGGAATACTACTCTGCCATAAAAAAGATGAAATTCTGCCGTTTGTGACAAGGATGGGCCTTGAGGGTATTAAAAAAAAAAAAAAACTCAACAAAGAAAACATATTCCTAGAGGCAGACAACAGATCTATGGTTACCAGAGCGGAAGTTGAGCGGAAAGGGGCAGCCTGGGTAAGGGGGTCAACTGTATGGTGACGGATGGAAAATGGGCTTTTGGTTGTAAGCATGATGTAGTATATACAGATGTCCAATTACAGTGGGGCCTTGACTTACAAGTGTCCCGACTAACGAGTTTTTCGAGATATGAGCGGTCTCTCGGCCGATTTTTTGCTTTGAGTTGCAAGCTAAAATTCGGGTTACGAGCCAGCTTCAGATACCCCACCACTAGTTGGCGCAGCGAACGTCACAGTGAACACCACAACATCAGCCCAGCATCACGTGTCTCACTCGTTCACTGTTGATTGGACATACGAGTAATTTGAGTTACGAGCTCCGTCACGGAACGAATTAAACTCATAAGTCAAGGCCCCACTGTATAATGTTGCATACCTGAAAGTCATATGATGTTATAAACCAATGTTACTTCAATGAAAAAAAAAAAATGTTTTAAAGGAAAAAGAAAAGGAAATTATAAAGAGAAATGAATAAACTCGTGGATGAGACCAAACTTGCTGAAACCAAGGAGCACTCACTGCCCAACAAACCCAGCGTTGTTCCCCTGACTTAAAACCTATCCAGCTCGCGCTACAATCTCCTTCCAAGCACCCGGGCCTCCCTGATGAAAACACCTACTGTAAGTGGGAGTTCTTCGTGCCGCGCAAGAGCTCCACCGTCTGCCTCTTGGCGCAGGAAACCGTGGAGGGACCCATCATCTGCTTCAGGTCGCCCGCGTTCCCCGAGTGGGAAGGACTCCGCGGCATGCCTACTTCCACAAAAGCATCGTTACCGCCTGCAGAGGAGGAAACACAACACCCAAAACATGAGTTCACCACCAGCAATCCCCTGCGATGGAAACAAACCAGAATCCAGCTCCAGGGAGACACAGACATGGCAGCTTTCAGCTGCAAAGACAACACCTGAAGTTCAGGCTGCCTCAAAAACTCAAGATGAAATGTGAAGAAATAACCCTCATATTTTTAAAGTTAGGGATGAAAGAATTAAAAATAGGTCCACTCTACTTAGAAAAAAATTACACACACACACACACACACACACACACACACACACTTAGTAAGTTGATGCTTTCCTGCTACATAATTACATTCACTTTCATTTAGGAAGTCCCAATGTCATGGGAAAGGGATTCTTTCTGTAAGAAGTTTGTCTGCTTTTCAGTTTATCTTTCACCATGTTCTTTGGAATTTCATTCAGGATGTTGTCTTTCTGCAAACTTCAGGCAGGATAAGTCATAACCGATTAGCAAAACCAATCTGAAATCACTGTGTGGACTTTCTACAACCCCCTTTGTCCAAGGAACAGGCCCGCTGAAGTCCAGAGGAAAGATTACTTCGGCAGGATTTGGTTTGGGAGACACCTGCTCCGATCCACTTGTCTGTCTGGACGGGTCACCATGATTCGCACTCAGCACTTTCTCTCCAAGCGATGAAGTGGATATTACACCATATTTTATGTTCGGAGGCTGAAATAACAATAGAAAACAGCATGCGGATGTGGTCACCATTCTAAAATTCACTTCCACTGAAAGTTTTACTAGTGGCTTATCTCTTACCAACAGCACAGATTCCCACCATCCTGAGGGACATTACCTGCGCGTGTCCATTTAAAGCAGCAGAGATTTTTTTGCCTTCTGTCTGCATACTGCTGATGTGCACGTCGACAGGAGTCAGGACGGGAGGGGGGGAGGGGGCTGTGTGCCCATAGGCGGGCACTCCGGACAACAGGATATTGGTTAACGTGGCTTGGGCAGTAGATGGAATCATAAGGTGTGGTACGGCAGAAAAGCCTAGAACAACATTTTATGAAGACAGATATTAGACAGAAAGAACACAGAATCAACAAGCATTATATTATCTTCAGTAACTTCAAAAAACATCACTGTTGCTGCAAATTCAGAAGGGAATTCAATGTTGATCTCTCTCTGCAAACAGGTTTAACATTACTACACAAAAGAATATTAAAATGGAACAACTCTCTAGGGAATATTTAACCCAAGCTCCTCACGGTACAGACGAAGAAACAAGCTGGACTTCACGTGTGCATATACCTACCGAGCGATTCTAACCTCTCCAGCTTGAACCTACCTTTCGAGTGATCAGTCAGCGACCTTCATATGACTTTGCCACTGCTCCCTGCACATTATGCTCCTTTTCCTGATCTGCTAGTCACATTCGAAAGATTATGTTTTACTTTTATGGGAAACTCACTGTTTTGTCGTGCATCATTTTAACTAATTTATACATTAGGAAATTTCTGTTAGGCTAAAAAGTATGCTTTGAACCATGATTTCCCCCTAAGGACATGGAACCACTAGTACATTTTATTTAAAAACTGGTAACACCTACAAAGACATGCCTTTGATTGTACTTAAATGATACTGACCTGTGGCACTTGAAGTATTAGCCAGTGGGGGTGCCCACAACGTGGGGCTCGGGGTGCCAGAACTTGGACTCTGCAAAGGACTGACGGAGCTATTAAGCGCATTCAAGAGTGAGTTCGGGGTTGTCGAAGTGTTTAGAGATAAGGCGGTGGGGCCCAAGAGACCTGTGACAAGTGAATGTACAGTCAATATGCATACATTCAAGATTTTAAAATAACAGATGGCAGCAATATTGCCATTTGGAATGCACGCTGATATAATCTGATATTTTCTGAATATAAAACCTGAGTGATAGATTACCTTCTTTCAAATATTCCCATGAAATACAGCCTGATACCATTTCAACACAGGACCCAGCTTATCCACAAACAGATGCTGATCGGAAAATAGGAGACAGGTGTGTGCCCCAACCAGGAAGGCAGTGGGGTTCACTGAGCACCGCCAGCTGCTTTGCGTTCACGTCACTTGCCAAGATGAACAACATTCTGCTGCAGTGGGAACCCATTTTCATTTCCCTGCATAGCTCAGTTGTCATATGCGTTCAAACAAACGCTTCAAACCACGTACAATTAACAGCGACTAAAGGGATGACTTCCTGCAGCAGAATGGCTCTGCTTGGCCCACTGTGGACAGGCTTAGCTACCTGCAACAGTTTTCATACTGTGTCAGAACACTGACATGACTCCTTCCTGCTCATCTCCACGCATGCGAAATCTTTTCTCAGGAGAAAAAAAAAATTTCCCCTTGTTTTAAAGATTTAATGCCTGATTTAGGTAATGAAATTTCCCTTCTGGCATTTAAAATATGGTAATGAAATTTCCCTTCTGGCATCTAAAATAAAATGTGGATTTTTACACAAGTTTCCAGGAATACTTAAAGCATTAGGTGTTACAGGATAGGTACAGCCATAAAAACATTTTAAAAATTGAGTAACTCTGACTGTCTGCTCACTTTTTTTCTCTCTCTAGTGCAGCAAGAACTCAGTGCCTGCTAAGCGATGAGACTGGCATTTCGAGGTGCATTGCTGTGTGGAAGGGACAGCTTTGGGAGACGATGGGCCCAGGGGGAAAAAAAACCTGCCTTTACCGTAATGGTGTCGAAGCAAGGCTACTTGGTGTATTAATCATATTATTTAAATATGTTATATTTATTAAAGCAAGAATAGCCGTTAGAAAAATTTAAAGGCTGCTAAGAGTATGTTTTCGGTCTCAAACCAACACTGAATGGGTTTGCTAGGGTTAGTGCTTTAACCTTTCATATAAAGGCTACTGAGAAAATGTATAAGAAGTAAAACTAGCCTGATTTAATGCAGCCACTAACTTCAGCCTGTAAGACGGGAGTCCATAATGAGGCAATAAATGTCACCAAGGCTATTAAAATGACTGGCTCTATTATCCTAAAAAACGGAAGCACCGAGTGACGATGTTCCTTCATCTTCCTATTCGCTGCCTTAGATGTGAATGCAGGTCCATTTGTTGCCCTTGGCGGCCGCAGGCTCGATTTCCTTTGTGTCTGCACAAGGCAGGCCTAGCCAAGGCGGGAAGAGGGGGGAGGGGGTCTGCCTGCTCTCCCCTCCCCCTCTGCACACCCCTCATACAGATTTGCAATTACTTTTGGAAAGGCAAACTGGATAATCTTTATCTCCAGGGACTGGTGGCAATATTGCAAATACAAGGGAGAGCAAACACATAAATTACATTCAGCCTGCTGACTTCACTCGCAATGGCATTCTTAATTTAGAAGAACAAACACAGCCGAAAATAAACGTCAGACGTTGATTATTGATGCCAAAATAAGAAGAATCTGGGGAACAAATCCACGGAGTCTAACAATAAAAAACAACAAAAAGCCAACAACAAAATGGATTGAAGCGAGTTCTGCTGCTTTTCACCTGACCATAGGGCCTGACGAGGGAGAAACATACCCTTTAAGATGTAGCCCCTGCGGCAGAAAGGAAGGGAACTGGGTAAGCAACTGAGAAGTGCTTTAGTAATGAACGGTATACCTAGTCCAGTGAGTCCGAGGCCTGCCGAGGCTAAGATATCCAGGCTGGGACAGGCCAGGCCGGCGGGGCACGATGCTGGGGACGGACTGGTTGCTATGGTAACCCCACTGCTTTCAAGTCCGAGGAGACATTTCCTTGCTTCATACATATTTAAGGCATTTCGTTCAACACTTTTCACAATCACAGACTATGAAAACACATAATGGAAAAGAAAAAAGTGACATGCAAGTCGTCTACAATGAATTGGGGAGGTGGGTGGGAAATGAAAACCGTAATAAGAATTCCACTTAGGAAATTCATTAATGCTGCTTTAAAAACCAACTGCAAATTCTAATCACTTATCACGTTTCCTCCTTTTGGGCGTGTCCTGGGTTCTAAGCCGTGTGATGGAAGCCGCACATATATTCCAGTTCCCACCAAAACCTTATGGTGGCGTGGAAATTATTATTCATATTCAGTGAGGACAGGCCTTACCCAACGTCACAGCACAGCTGTGCAGGGCAACCAGAGGACTGGAACGTGGGCCCCTCTCTGGAGCCCGTTCTCCTTCACATCCTCTTGTCTCTGTTAAAGCTCCCCCCCCCCCACTTACTTATTTTTACAAAACAAATCAAACTTGTCTCCCTACAGTATATGTACTGCTTAATAATAGTCACTTACATTTGACATTTATGGTCTACTAGTTAACTAATAGACCGTGAGGGGCCACTATTCCTCACTGATGACATATCTATGGCAAAGCTCATACTAAAATAAACTCCTAAACAATAAATCTTTTTTCTCAATGGACTCATCTAGAAAATTGGAAATGTGAAACCAAGGGGGGAAAGCCTCCAATGAACAATAAAGGAAATTGGCGGCTGAGAAAGCAGAGCAGGAGGGAGCAGGGGGCCGGGAGGAAAATTAAATGGCCCTGGGATGCTGCCACAGTGTAATTCCCCCGACTTCCGCTCACTTCTTCCTGGACCCCAGGAATTCTTGTG